CTGACAGAAGAGCAGAAGATCAAACACCGCATGTTCTCACTCATAGGCGGGTGTTGAACAATGAGAACACATGGACACAGGGAGGGGAGCACTACACACTGGGGTCAGTTGGGGGGAATAGGGGAGGGACGGTGGGGGGTGGGAAGCTGGGGAGGGATAGCAAGGGGAGAAATACCAGTTGTAGGTGATGGGAAGGCAGCAAATCACACTGCCACGTGTGTTCCTATGCAACAATTTTGCATGTTCTTCACATGTACCCCAAAACCTAAAATGAAATAAAATAAATAAATGGGAAAAAATATATATATATATGAATTGCAAACCTCCAAGAGAAAATTTAACTTACCTATTCCATGCTCATACATAGGAAGAATCAATATTGTAAAAATGGCCATACTGCCCAAAGTAATTTATAAATTCAATGTTATCCTCATCAAGCCATCATTGACTTTCTTCACAGAATTAGAAAAAAACTACTTTAAATTTCATATTAAAACAAAAAAGAGCCCATGTAGCCAAGAGAATCCTAAGCAAAAAGAACAAACTTGGAGGCATCACACTACCTGACTTCAAACTATATTACAAGTCTACAGTAACCAAAGTAACCAAAACAGCATGGTACCTAAACAGATATATAGACCAATGGAACGGAACAGAAGCCCCAGAAATAACACCACACGTCTACAACCATCTGACCTTTGATAAACTTGACAAAAACAAGCAATGGGGGAAAGGATTTCCTATTTAATAAATGGTGTTGGGAAAACTGGCTAGCCATATGCTGAAAACTGAAACTGGACCCCTTCCTTACACCTTATACAAAAATTAACTCAAGATGGATTAAAGACTTAAATATAAGATCTAAAACCATAAAAACCCTAGAAGAAAATCTAGGCAATACTATTCAGCACGTAGGCATGGGCAAATATTTCATGACTAAAACTCCAAAAGCAATGGCAATAAAAGCCAAAATTGAAAAATGGGATCTAATTAAACTAAAGAGCTTCTGCACAGAAAAAGAAAACTATCATCAGAGTGAAGAGGCAACCTACAGAATGGGGTAAAATATTGCAATCTATCCATCTGACAAAGGGCTAATATCCAGAATCTGCAAATAACCTAAAAAATTTTTCAAGAGAAAGACAACTCCATCAAAAAGTAGGGTGAAGGATATGAACAGACTCTTCCCAAAAGAAGACATTTATGCGGCCAACAAATACATGAAGAAAAACTCACCATCACTGGTCATTAGAGAAATGCAAACCAAACCACGATGACATACCTCATTTTTTTTTTTCTTTTTGTAGCATTGACAAGGATTAGTGTTTCTTGAGACAAAATTTAGAAAATGCTGATTTAAAGCATCCACATATGCATTTGAAAGAAAACATTTATTGAGATAAGTCTCTGAGACACTTAAAATATCCAAGCTATTATTAACCAACCTACCTTCCTAGTGGCTAGGAAACAAAGAAGGGAAACAAAACCATAGTGTGTGGGTAATTTTTCCAAACGTTTGGCACACGTTAAAAGCTGAATACACTGTTTGAGTCCAATTTTCTCAAAAATTCAAATCTATTATAACAAATAACAGAAACCAAGGAAGAAAATTTTAATAACGTTTTCAAACAAGCATTTAAAAAAAAAATACTGTGCCACAATCTCAAAGAGAGTATATTTTTAACACTATTAGGGAGCATTGTAGATAGCCTTCAAGGAAACATTTTCAAGGACTGTTTCAAGAGTTTACCTTTAGAAATGTAAATTTCCTCATTTCTCTAACTAATGGTTTACCAAGGGCTCCAGTGCATAGGGTAGAAGTGTACCACATATTTGACCACGTTTTATGATGGAAGGAGCATAGCCTACTTAGAAATTGAAGAAAGAAAGCTTGGAGAAGAATCATTTGCTTCTAAAAAGTATTAGTCAGCTATTTTTGAAGTTAACAGTGACAACTAAACAGAAAAAACACTTGACTCAAAGTCCTGTTAATGGGGCAATTCAGTAAATTCTATGCAAGTGTATATAATTCTATACAGCTAATGCACCAGTGAAGGTAAAATGTCATATGGGTCAGGGAAAGTGAGAGAAGGCAGGGAAGTGTTACCAACACACAGTGAGAGTGTTACTGGAGCATCTTCTACAGATCAGCGTGTAACTAGATGGTGATGACACCGAGAAAGAACATGAAGTATGTGAATTCGGTGCAATGCAAACTGAAAGCTATTTGTGGATTTTGGCCTGCTTACAATAGTATTTCCCTTTCCCTTTACCAGTGAATGAAGACTGCAGACATTTCCAAACAGGTTTCTTTTGAAAGACTAAAAAGAATTTTTTTTGGCTGCATTTTTAAAATTATTTAATTATTTATTTATTTTAATTTATTTATTTTACTTTAGGTACATTCTATATCTGGCATTTCTCCCCATGTTATCCCTTCCCAACCTCCCCTCCCTCCCCACCCCCCAATGTCTCTCCTCTGCCCCTCGCAATTGTCCCCAGTGTGTGATGCTCCTCTCCCTAAGTCCACGTGTTGTTCTCGTTGTTCAACACCCACTTATGAGTGAGAACATATGGTGTTTGGCTTTCTGTTCTTGTGTCAGTTTGCTGAGAATGATGGTTTCCAGATTCATCCAAGTCCCTACAAAGGACTCGAACTCATTGTTTTTTATGGCTGCATAATATTCCATGGTATATATGTACCACATTTTCTTTTTCCAGTCTATCATTGATGGGCATTTGGGTTGGTTACAGGTCTTTGCTATTGTACACAGGGCTGTAGTGAACATACATGTGCATGTGTCTTTATAGCAGAATGATTTATAGTTCTTTGAGTATATACCCAGTAGTGGGATTGCTGGGTCAAATGGAATTTCTATTTCTAGATCCTTAAGAAATCACCACACTGTCTTCCACAATGGTTGAACTAATTTACACTCCCACCAACTGTGTAAGAGTGTTCCTGTTTCTCCACATCCTCTCCAGCATCTGTTGAAGGTAAAGTCTCATGTTGATTCTTGGTAATAGGCTACTAAAGGTCATATATTCAATGAAAGCAGGAAATCAAATAGCAGCATAATATTAAAAATCTCATCTTAAAAATTCTGTTGGGATTTATTAACTGAATGTGGCAGTGTTAATACATAGGTCATTTATTTTATCAAAGGAGAAATGTTATCCAAAGTAGGCAATTTGTAATGCTGTATGAAAATATTTTATATACAGATATAGTGTCAAAATTAAATACATATATTTTGTTAATTAAAAGGTAAACATATATTATTATCTTAAAAATATACCTCCCAAATTGCAACTTATTTAGACAAGTTATATTCTATATAAATGACAAAGTAACTCAGTGCTAAAGTTTAGCATCCTTAGATTAGGTAAATTTATTTATTTGTTTCTTTTTTGAAATTGTGCTTTTTCATGTCAAAACATTTGCTATACCATTTATTGAAGGCACTGTGTTACACATTCATGATTAATTACATCTCTTGAAATCTCTCTTACATATCTTGGAATTTGTTATGCTGTTGCTTCCTTGAGGTATATGACTCTCTTATTCTCATGGGCATTATTCATATATCATTGTTAACCCTAAAACATCTCCAGCACAGAAGATGACAATTTCCACTCTTAATGCAGTATAATAGATTCATAGTGAACCATAAAATTATTTTGACAGTAAAGCAATGTCAATTTTGAGTCTTTGAAACCTTTAATACTTCATAGATTTAATGCCTTCTCTTGAAATATTTAAACAGGTTTGAAAAGTATTATTGTAACTGATACCTTACATGGATTGTCTTACAAAAATCAGTACAGAATTATACTGATTGATGTATGTTCGCATACATATGAAATAGTTTGTTGACTGCAGCATTCAGTTTCCATTGTTTGTATCCATCTTCTAGTAAGACAAGATGTATTTCTCAATTGATATAATCCATTTTGACCAGGATACATTCAGTAACTTCTGGGAGGCATTCCACTCTGAAAAACTGCACAAGCAGATAGATTCTTGGAGGATGCAACTAAAGTTCATGTTTCTATATTGTCACTCCATATTTTTCAGTGTTCTTTAGTGCCACTCAAAATCTTATTCCAACAAGTTTTTATCTCTTGTAGTAGTCTCTTTAGGAAACATGAGTCATTCAGTTTTTTCTGTTCCTTTAAAGATTTATTTTCTTCCTAGAGAATAGATTTTAAGAAGTTTAAACTTCACATTTTTACAAAAATATGTATTTTAAAATACTCAAATTTTCATATTACTTTATATTGAAAACTGGTGCAATGAAAAGGTAGAATCTCGTGTGACATTTTAAAAATGATGATTTCTGACTATCATTATGATAACTTGGAAAATTTAAGGTTGATTAAATTCAAGGAGATTAAAGATTTAGGATTCTCCAAAGAGCTACATCAGCTGACTGCCATTTTCACACTAACAGTGGACATAATAATACTGTTTGAACTTTCATTATAGTTGTAGATTACTTAGTTGAGTTTCTTTAATGTAGAAAAATGTATTTTTAGTGGAAAGAATAATTGACTCTGAAAATAGATTATTTTGGCAAAGATAATTAATAGGGATATATATATATAACAGATGGAGCTTGTGCCCTAAGCTCTACCCCAACAATTAACCTTCACCAGAATATGTCAGATGCCTGCCTCATAAGCTAGGTTTTAGCACCTAATGAGAATCTTAAAAAGAGCTACCTGTACAACAAATAGGAAGAAAGAGATACCTGGCATGAAAAGACATGTAAAGGAGTAGCTCTGCATAGACTCAGTAATATTTCTCTGAGTCCTCTGAACTGTGAGAATGGGAACAGTGCAGGGTAGATTAATTCTTCACTTAGATAACAACTAGTTAATCAGAAATATAAAGCATACCAGTGACCTTTATCCCTTTCTAGACCAAAAGGTGATATCAGTTGTTTGTTTTACACTATTTGCAGTTGAGCCCAGACTTGAGGCTTAAAATCAATATAGTGCTTTCAACAATCAATACTAAGTAATTGGATTGCAAGCAATATAAAACCTATAATAACTAGTTATTATAACTAGTTATTGGGTAACTAGATAATTTAGATAACAAGTTATTGGGTATTCTCTAAGTTATGTATTGTGCTCAGTGTTTTACATACTTCATTTTATTTGCTTAATAATCTTTTGAACTTGATGATTTAAACTCATATCATAGATGAAGAAACTAATCTGCAAGGAACATAAATAAGCTGCTAAGGTCATATGTCAAGTAAACATAATGACAGAATCTTGAGTTTCTCTGTCCTATTTTTAATTTGGCTACAGACTCATATCTCTTTTTGTCATGCATTTAGTAACACTAGCACATACTTTTTAAAGAATACATTTCAAACATTAAATGACAGATCTCAAAGGGAAATATAAAGGCAAACTTTTCATATTCTTTCCAATAAGGGGTCCCAGACAATTTGTTAAGTGCAAATTGAAATTTTTAAGTGCAAATACATAATGTGAAATATATATCACATCTATATATTTCAAATCTTGCCTAAGCAGATTTGAAATATATAGATGTGAACATTTCATACTTTTCCTCAGAGACCAAGAATAAGCATTCACTGAAAAGACAAAAATAGGGAATCTTGTTTTTACCCCTGTAAGCCTGGGAATACAGTTGTTTTCTTTCTTTTCTGAACTTTCTTTCCAAATTCTCTTAGTCAAAAGTCTTCAGAGTGTTTATATTGCTTTTAGCTCCTGTATTTATTTCAGATGTTCCACTTTGTATGGAATCCCTAGAGTTTCCTAAGTCCCAGAGTGTACAGACTGACTTTGCTTTTCTGAAAAGAGTAAGGAATTTCCATGTTGCCATAAAGCTATTGGTCAAGTAATGGAAATGGAAAAGAAGCCATCACTTTTATGAACGAGATATGCTCATTTTTCTATGCCTCAGCCTAATTAATGCCTATATCATATTAAAGTTTAGTCAGATTCAGTTAAGTATTCTGCCTTATTAAGTCATTCATAAATATTTTTCATATTATTGTATAATTTATCTAATAATATCTAGTAGTATACATATAAATATATAGTGTTTGTATACTATTATATATTATCTATACTGTACAATCTACGCTAATAAAAGAGGTATAAGATAGGTCCTTATTGTTTAATGTTTATTTCTTTACAAAGTAACAGGGGTGATTATTTTTCTTCATGTATTTGTCATCTATTTTATTTTCTCCTATATAAATTATTTGTTCATGTCTTTTACTGCTAGCTACAATATTTTAATGTTGCTGCCTTTTTAAAAAGTTATGCTTTGATTTTTGCCCTAACAGCTTGTATTTTAAAATAATGGGTTTATAAAATGCAATTTAAAAGACTCCCAGTTTTGAGGGGCACCTCACTTTTCCTTTTATCAATGTTATAATAAATCATTTCAAAGCCAGCTATAAAAAAGAAACAATTCAAAATGAAAAATTAAGAATTAAGGTGAGTAAAGAGCTGATGAACCATAAGTAAAATTATATAATTATTCTCACCAAACTCTTTGTTGGTTGGGCTTCACCCAGGGCAGGTGGTTTTCTTTCTTTAACCTTAAAAACAAAGTCACATTTATAATACTGAATAGTTCCTCATTGATCCTCCAATTGTTTGTAATTGCTAATTTTCATATTACCTTCAGCTTGTCTAATCTATTTGAGACTCTACTTTAAATTTCTTATCGTTAAGACAGCAAAATATTAATATGATTTAGAAATGGAATGTCAGGAAGAAGCAAGAGAGTTCAATCTTCTGAATACCCAGGATCCATAATTTTGTAGATATGCCTAGCACTGTGTTAACTGCTGTGAGGTATGAAAAATTAACATAGTAGGGTATACTAGCAGAGATAAAACTTAAATTTTAATTAATATAAAAATAAAGTTAACAAGAAATTGTTAAATCCTGGCCATACATTTTATTAAGCTACACTTATCAGAAACAAAACGAAATAAAACAATGGTAATAGTAATAGTAAAAAGCTTGTAACATCCCTGTCTCATGAAGAAAATTTAATGTAGCTGACTGCTTTAATACCTTGCCTTGTTATTTCAAGAAAAAGGTGACTTGTGTCAAATTAATTAATGTTGTAATATAATTTAATTTAAATTATTTGCATATTTTATTTCTCTATAGTTAGTTAATTTTGGAACATGATGACCCACAGAAAGCTCAACACATAAGAGAAAGAATCACAAATATTTAACATACTAAGACCTTTACCCCTTCCTAGACCAAGAGGTGATATCAGTTGTCTGTTTTACACTCTTTTCAGTTGAGATGAGACTGGAGGCTTATAATCAACATAGTGTTTTCAACAGTCACAACTAATTAATTGGATGTACAAGCAACATAAAACCTATCTACATTAGACAGTACTTTGAAATCACTGTAAGTAGGAATGAAGAATGGTAGACTAGAGTAGGAAGTCTTTATGAATCTTGAGCTAAGCCTTGAAGGCATAGAACCAAATAGACCTAATTTATAGGAAAAAAAGTAGAAATGCCCTCTCAGGAACAAAGGTAAGGGCCCAAGATTGGAAATAAGCTTGGCAAATCCAGCACACCAAGAGGACACTGGCTTCCATCAAGTACATAAAGCAATGATAAATGAGGTTGCCCAAGTTATACAATAGATAATCTACATTTTTATCACTGTCAATAGGGTTCAAAGATAATCTTACCATTTTACCTTCTATGGGAAACTACTGCTCAAACAAAACAAAATTCTTATTAAGTCATAAAAATTTTATTTAGGAAAACATTTAAAACCATAAAATAACCTTTTTATATTGTGTGTCAGTTGGTAAAATCTATAAAGAGGTGAATAATAAAAATAAAATAAAACATTGTATTAATCATTGAAAGCTTTTTATTATTAAGCACTTTATATGTGTTATGTCATTTAATCCTTTCAAATCCTACAATGTAGACACTATATTTTTCTGCATATGTAGATAAGAAAGCTGCTGTCTAGTCTCTAGATAATGTCTTCCATATTTGGTTTTGTTGTTTTAGTTCATAACCACTAGTGGAAAAGTAGGAAAAAATTAGTCCTATTTGTATCAAAATTATTTAAATAAAGGGAAGTTGTTGGACATGTATATGCCTAATTTAAGCATATAAAGATATTTGTTAAATACATTTGATTTTCTGTTTTATTGACTAGGAGTTCTTATAAGTGTATACAAATATGGATAAAAACTATTAATATGTTTTAGAGATAGAAATTTACCATTCTCCACCCAATATATCACACTAGTATCCTTGGAAGTTATTATGGCAATGAAGCATTTATTTATTTATTTGTTACTCCCCTTTCACAAACATTTCACTCTAGCCAAGAGATACATAGGTATTTCCAAACTGAGTCTTTCCTCTTCTAGAATTGAGTAAAAAATACTTCAAATCTAGATGATAATAAGCACTTAGGATTCTATGATAATGGATATGATCATCAGAGAATTGTGGTATCTTGGCACAGGAGTGGTTTATATTTTTATTTAAAGTAAATAGTCCTTAGCTTACCTTGCTGGTGCAGTTCAACAGTACTGTTGTGCCTTGTGAAACTTTTAATAAGTGGAGATCGAAATCACCAGTGCTATTCATTTTAAGAAATTGCCTCAACTTGCGAGCAGCACGGAATAAAAACATACCTTCCTATTATAGGAAAAAGTCAGAAGGGCTGTGGTTCAAATAAAATATTAAGAAATTATAAGCTTTCTTAAGGAGTCTAGAGCCTGAGCTGTATTGCTGAGTAATGCCCCACCTCCACCCCAGCTTTCTATTCCAGCTAATCACGTTACTGACAAGTTACAGAACTAAAACTGTTTAGCTCCTAGGTGACAGCATGAAGTGCATAGAACTTGGTTTAATGATTATCTTGACTTTTAAAGTTCTTTCCTCTATTATGCCTATGTGGTTTTATCGCTTGTGGGTGAACATGTTATAAGATCATTTGATTTTAAGCATAATAACCAAAGGAGAAGGCTTCTGGAAGCAGCAATGTATTATAAGAGGTATGTATGGTTTTTCTTAGTATTTCTTGCATCTTCTGACCTATGGATGAATAGCTGATCATAGGAAAATAAAGGACTACAGTCACCTAAAATGTAAGTTTTTCAGATATTTAAATTAAGAAATTAAAAATTTATTTTTAAATCTAAAAAAGAAAGCTAAGGACTAAAAAAAGAATTTATGAGGCTAACTTAGCTACTGTGAATTTTAAAAAGACTATCAAATAGCACACTAGTTTCCGTAGGGAGAAATGGCATAAACTTTTTAGGTTTTTCAAAGTGTAATATTATACCAACTAGAGGTGATAATCATTTAATGATAAGCAAATATTGAAAGAAACATCTTCAAGATGCTTCCAGCTAAATTATACGAATGACTTATATTTGTATGTGTGCAAGCAATCACATTAACAAGTATTTTTCTGTATAAGAAATTTAGAGGCTGGGTGCGGTGGCTCACACCTGTAATCCCAGCACTTTGGGATGCTGAGGTGGGCAGATCATGAGGTCAGGAGATCCAGATCATCCTGGTCAACATGGTGAAACCCAGTCTCTACTAAAAAGTAGAAAAATTAGGTGAGTGTGGTGGCACATGCCTGTAGTCAAAGCTGCTCGGAAGGCTGAGGCAGGAGAATTGTTTGAACCTGGGAGGCAGAGGTTGCAGTGAACCATGATTGCACCACTGCACTTCAGCTTGGTGACAGAGTGAGATTTTGTCTCAAAAATAAAAAAAAACAACAACAACAACAACACAAGAAATTTAGAAATAAGAGACAGATGTGTCTTTGAATTCAACAATTATAGTATTTTCAAGGTAAAAAATAGAATAGTAAAACAGAAAAGAAAATTGTTATTTAATAAGCACAGGGCTATTTGTAAAATGAAAATATAAAAGAGGACCATAGTATGATTTAATCAATGGGAATTATGTGGCCATACTGCATATATTAATAGTATTCATGTAATTGTCTAACAGAGGCACAAAAAAATATAAGCTTTTATAAAATCAAGCTTGAATTACAAACTCCAAATAATTATCATTACCTTATTATCATCACATAAATGTCTTTTAAAAAAGTTAAATTCATTATTCAGGCAATTGCTACCAATTTCTTTCATGCTGTCCTGTAATAAATAACATAAAATAATATGGTTAAAACTGAGTACTTTTCTAATATCTAGTAATGATAAAAATAATAATCTTATAATATCTGGTATTTATATGTGCATTTTACGGAAAATAACTTTTGCCTGGCTTAGCTTACTATGCATGAAGCATAGTTTTCTATAGTTGAAGGATAAATAAGTGTATACACAAACCCTCCCATATTAGAGCCCCTCCCAGATCCTATAATTGAATCCCAGAATTCACTAAGATAATCTGGCTCATGTAGGGAAATAAAAGTACCTACTTTAGAAATTGTGCTATATAGACAAAGTACTATAAAATGTGAGATCATTAAGTTGAGATGTATTTAAGAGATTATTCAGTCCAATTTCCTGCCATCAACAACAAGAAAAGAAATCTATATCAGAATGGAGGGATCCATACAAAGCTCAACACATAAGAGAAAGAATCACAAATATATAACATACCTAAGACATTTACCCCTTCCTAGACCAAGAGGTGATATTGCTTGTGTCTTTTACACTCTCTTCAGCTGAGCCGAGACTGCAGGCTTATAATTAACGTACTATTTTCAACAGTCACAACTAATAATTTGGATGTGCAAGCAACATAAAACCTGTCTGCATTAGACAGTACTTTGAAACTGACAGCGCAAATGAAGGTTGAAATTTATTCACATTTTTAGCAATCCAATTTTCTGGGATAGTTGAGGTAGAATTTTCCTGGGAAACATTGTAATTGGATGTGTGTGTATTATAAACATAGGAATGGGAAAGCCGACTGGTACATACTCTTGTTTTTTTTTTTTTTTTTCATTTCTAAGGAATGTAGTAAAAGAAGGTAGCAATTACCTAAATCAGTAATGTAGTTGATATTAGGAAAACTCCCTAAGGTTTTAGATTTTCTTATGCACTGGGTTGGACTGGCTCTGTCCAGCAAACCAGCAATTCCATGCTATCAGAGTTTCTAGGACTGAAAACAATCTTAGCCTACATAATGTCACCAGAGAAACATAATAAGAAGTGGAGCAATGGCAGGATTTGGTCATGGGCTTTGAATCCTCATCTGCCTCTCAGAAAAGTATTCATTGCTCTTATCACCTGTGAAAAGCAGAAATGATCTCTGGGTTTACCCTGATTTTAAAATGTATATGCTATCAGTTTTATCTGCAAGAAATGTCTGAATACAAACATCTCAAGTGTAAAAGATATATTTTCAATGACTATCTTCACATTGCCATTTTACATATTCCTGAAAATGTAGTAGATAATTAATATTTGCCTATTAAGTCATTTTCATGTTGACTTCCACTTACCCCAAGGACCATAAATCATACATAATTTTTTCTTTGATAAAACATAGAGTATTTAATTTTTGCCATGTCATCCTTCAAAAAAGGTGAAAAATGTGCAGTTAATCTATATGATATCTTCCAGTTCACCAAAATATCATATCAGACTATATGTCACATAATGAGTGCCAATTTCTTACAACAGTTTAACAAATTGCATGACACATGAATATTTAAAAAGCCATAGTGGTTAGGCTGCTGTTCTAGGTTATTAATAAAACTTATTTGTGGCAGAGCCACAAAAAGATAATGTTATACCAGTTGATTTGTTTGCCTAATGTTTGATACAGAATGTAAATATGTTACTATACCATTAAAAGGTTGACTCCTTTAGAGGTCACAGTTATTAATTCATTGACATTAGTATATTTTATTAATGCATCCAGTATAGATCTATATGACTGCCAATTACTGTTGCTTTCTAAAATTCTTTTCATTCATGCCATACCAAAAGAATGGCTCAGAGTAAGAATTATAGATACATGGTATTGGAAAGAAACTTAGATGGCCATTTTTTTATTTAGTAAAGAATATAATTACTTAACCAAAGTCACAATAATTGTTTTTTATTCACGTCGCATATGTCAAGATGCATATAAGAAACAAATCACGGCCGGACGTGGTGGCTTATACCTGTAATCCCAGCACTTTGGGAGGCCAAGGCAGGCAGACTGCGAGGTTAGGAGTTAGAGACCAGCCTGGCCAACATGGTGAAGCTTTATCTCTAGTTAAAAAAAAAAAAAAATCCAGGCATGGTGGCACGTGCCTGTAATCCCAGCTACTTGGGAGGCTGAGACAGGAGAATTGCTTGAACCTGGGAGGCAGAGGTTGCAGGGAGCAGAAATTGCACCACTGCCCTCCAGCCTGGGTGACAGAGCAAAACTCTGTCTTGGGGAAAAAAAAAAGAAACAAATCACATGTCATATATATCAAGATGCGTATAAGAAACAAATTTCTTCAAAATTTTTATGAATATGGAAAATCAAAAGAGAAAAGCCAAGATTATACAGACTGAATTATAGTATTTTCTACTATAAAAGATGACATTGTAGAAGTTCTTTTTTTTTAGGTGAAGCTATTTTTAATACTTTTGTCTTTTAACTCTCATACTAGAGGAAAAGTGATTTTAAGACTAAAATTTCCTTATATACAATTACATACAAATTCATTAGAGCACTCTGAATTTGACTATATTTTATCTTTACATTGAGTTTTATACTTTACGGTGAGTTTTATGCTTTCATTTCTTTTCATGCTTTTAGTGTATTTTTCTTTCTCTATTTTTAAACATTTATTTTAAGTTCAGAGGTACAAGTGCAGGCTTGTTACATAGGTAAACTTGTGTCATGGGGATTTATTGTATAGATTATTTCATCACCCAGGTATTAAGCCTAGTACTCATTAGTTGTTTTTTGATCCTCTACCTCCTCCTACCCGCCATCCTCCAAAAGGTCCCCAGTATGTATTTTTCCCCTGTATGTGTCCATATATTCTCATCATTTAGTTGCCACTTATAAGTGAGAACATGTGGTATTTGGTTTTCTGTTCCTGTATTTCTTTGCTAAGGATAATGGCCTCCAGTTCCATCCATGTCTCTGCAAAGGACATGATCTCATTGATCTCATTCTTTTTTATGGCTGCATAGTGTTTCATGGTGTATATGTACCACATTTTCTTTATCTAGTCTATCATTGGTGGGCATTTAGGTTGGTTCCATGCCTTTGCCACTGTGAATAGTGCTGCAATGAACATACACATGCATGTGTCTTTGTAACAGAATGATTTCTATTTCTTTGGGTATATACCCAGTAATGGGACTGCTGGGTTGAATGGTATGTCTGTCTTTAGGTCTTTGAGAAATTGCCACACCATCTTCCACAATGGCTTAACTGATTTACATTCCCACCAACAGTGTGTAAGCATTCCCTTTTCGTTGCAACCTTGACAGCATGTTATTTTTTGACATTTTAGTAATAGCCATTCTGACTGGTGTGATATGGTATTCCATATTTCTCAGAGGTTTTGTTCATTCCTTTTCATTCTTCTCTATTCTTGTCTGCCTGTCATATTTCATAAAGCCAGTCTTCAGGCTCTGAAATTCTTTCTTCCTTTTTGTCTATTCTGCTATTAATACTTGTAATTGCATTATGAAATTCTTGCAGTGTGTTTTTCAGCCCTATCAGAAGAATTAAGTTTTTCTCTATACTGGCTATTTCAAATTCTTGCTGGAGAGGTAATGAGGTCACTTGCAAGAAAGAGGGCACTTAGGCTTTTTGAATTTTCAGCATTCTTGCTCTGATTCCTTCTCATCTTTGTGGGCTTATCTACCTTCAGTCTTTGAGATTGAGTTTTTTTTTTTTTTTTTTTTGTTTTTTTTTTTTATTTTTTTTTTAACAGTTTGGCCACTTTTCCGTAGAGCTTTTTTTTTTTTCTTGGCACAATCTGGTCATTTTTCCATAGGGCTGCTGTGGTTTGCTGTGGGTCTGCTCCAGTCCCCAGTTGCCTTGGATTTTCCAGAAGCTGACAGTATCACCAGTGAAGGTTGCAAAACAGCTCAGTTGCTAGCCTACCACTTCCTCTAGAAGCTCCAGCCCAGGGAGGTATGAACCTGTTGCCAGGTGGAACGCACCTGCAGAAGGTGACTGGAGTTCCTGGCTGGGAGATCTTGCCCAGTCAGGAGAAAGAGGATTGGGGACTCTCTTAAAGAAACAGTCTGTCCCTGCTTTTGTAGAGCAGCTGTACAGTACTGGGGTACTGCTTCATTGCTAGTTGGTTTGAGCTCTCCAAAGCCTGCAGGCTGGACAGGCTCAGACCCAAATAGCAGAGATGGCCAGCCCACCCCTCCCTCTGAGACCTTGTCCCAGGGAGTTTACAAATCTCTGCAGGCCAGAGAACACCAGCAGGAATGGCTAGAGGCCCTGGTTGGGAGGTCCTGCCCAATAAGGAGGGATGACTCAGTGACCTGCTTAGATGCAGCCTGGTCATGTGTTGGTAGAGCAGTCGTGCCGTACTGGGAGATCCCTTCTGCCCCTGATAGGTTTGGACTCTCCCAAGCCTTCAGGCTGAAAAAGGTGACTCACTCAAACAGTGAAGATGGTGGCTTGTCCCTCTCCCTGAGAACTCTGTCCCAGGTAGGCACAACACTGCTGCAGGTGGCTGGCTGGAATTCCAATCCAATGGGTCTTATCCTTTGAGGCACCATGGAAGTGGGGCCCACAGACTATCATTGCTTGGCCCCCTGGATTCAGCCTCTTTCCTAAGGGTATGCACAGGGATCTAATGTCCCGCTTTGCTAGAGCTGCAGTTATTTTTGCTGGGAAGCTCCAATGTGTGCCTGAACAGCTGCTCTGCCAAGACTCCTGGTATCTCTGTGTGTTAGACTGAAAGCCCACTGGTGGAGCGGGTTCAGGAGGGGATCTCCTAACTCAAGGTGGCAAAGATCTGTGGGAAGAATGTGGTTTCCAGGGTCACATGTTCACTCTCCGCTTCCCTAGGCAGGGGGAATTCACCTGGCTGGGTGTCACTCCCAGGTGGGCTGTCGTCCTGCCTTCCTTTTCTCTGTTCTCCATGGGTCAAATTGTTTCCTTGATTAATCCCAATGAGAGTACTTGGATGTTTCAGCTGAAGGTGCTGTATTTACTCTCC